GAAAATTTTAGAGACATTTCTTTAAGAAATTATAAATTAGATCCTCTGTGGTATTACACAACACCAGGATTTGCTTGGGATAGCATATTAAGAATGACAAAAGTAAAGCTAGATTTATTAACAGATATTGATCAAATATTGATGTTTGAATCCGGAATAAGATGGGGCTTATCTCAATGTAGTCAAAGATATTCTCAAGCAAATGATAAATATATGGGAGATAAATATAATATTCTTAAGGAATCAATATTTTTACAATATTTGGATACAAATAGTCTTTATGGATGGGCAATGAGTAAATATTTACCTACTGGAGATTTCAAATGGATTGATAATCTGAATAATTTTGATGTAATGAAAATTTCTGATGAATCACTTAAAGGTTATATTTTAGAAGTCGATTTATCTTATCCTAAAGAACTTCATGATCTACATTCAGATTTCCCTTTAGCACCAGAAAGACATTTTGATAGTGAACAACTCCCAAAATTATTAACAACTTTGTATGATAAAAAAAAAATATATAATCCATTATGAAACATTAAAAGTATATATTAAACTAGGTTTAAAGRTAGAGAAAATTCATAGAGTATTAGAATTTAGTGAATCTCCTTGGTTAAAAGTTTATATTGATTTCAATACTAATCTTAGATCAAAAGCTAAGAATGAGTTTGAAAAAGAATATTTCAATTTAATGAACAATAGTGTTTATGGACGTACTATGATGAATGTGAGAAATCATGTTGATATAAAATTTTGTTCTAATGTTTCAAAACTAGACAAATTAATTGCGAAACCAAATTTTGATAGAAGGACAATTTTTACAGAAAATTTATCTGCAATCCATATGAAAAGAACACAAATAACTTTCAAACAACCAATTTATATAGGAATGTGTGTTTTAGATTTATCTAAATTATTAATGTATGATTTTTATTATAATATACTAAAGAAAAAATACTATACTGATACAGACTCATTAATAATAGAAATTAAAACTGATGATTTCTATCAGGATA